GGGGATTCCCCCGAGGGCAAGTGCCGAGGGCAAGTGAACGAGGGCATGTTGAACGACTAATGAAACGCAGCCATTGCCTCCAGATCAGCCAATGGTGAAATCCAATTGCAATAGCCGGGTTTCACCCAGTAGAGGGCGGTCACTGTCCTTTTTTATAGCACAATATGAAGAAATGAAATACTGTGCGTTGACATGTCCAGATTTGGAACTATACTTAATACCAATATACATACGTTTTCAGCAGAAAACTGCAGATTTGGGGCTTTAGAGACTCTTTACAGTGGCATGGCGCCAATATAAACTGTGAAACAGTTAGTTTTGTGTCTTTGATGAAACACTGTACAGCTATCAGCTCTCAGTTAAAGGACCAAACCAGCGTTTTTTTTTTTTAATGCTTTAGCTCATTAGCTACAAATCATACGTACTTTACATTACTGCTGACAATGTACCAAAGTATGTTGCGTTGTTTTAGGGTTTGAAAGTGTTCCAGGCAGTCACTGTTTTCATTTAATGCAGCTTTAAGTGCAGACTGATTTGAAAGTCAGCACTGCAATACCACGCTACAACAGACCTTTTTCACAGCAGCCATTACCAATTATACTATTTAAAGTACTTTTTATATTTTAAATATGTTTTTGTGATATTTTGCTTTCAATATATCCTGACTGTTGTACTTGAGTCAGATAAAGTGTGAAAAAATCAGCTTCCTCTGGCTCCTCCTAGTGGTCCTGAGTCTCATTCCAAGTTTGTCAAATACCGACACTGGTTTGGTGGCTTGATGGTTGAGTCTCCTGGGAATCCATAGTAAAAAAGTTTCAGCAAATATGAATGTTTTATTTTATATATATTTTTAAAAAAGTAACCTACTGCAGCTTTAAGTTTCCATTCATTTCAGGTCCGAGTCTGGGTCCTGCTATTGTGCACTACTCTGCCGCACTTAATGAACAAAACCTTGGTAACATCTGTGTTTACCCTCCTATTTTATGCCAAAATGGCTGCTGTGAAAAAGGTTTGTAAGCTGACTTACATAAAAACAAAATCCGACATGATTTTCACTGTGATGCTTTCATTTCTCCAAATGTCTTAAAGTTGATCTGCTGGATCATAGCAGCCATTTTGACATAAAATAGTAGGGTAAACACAGGTGTTACCAATGATACGAATAAAGGTTTTGTTCCATTTTTTCAAAAAGATCTATTGTTGGTAGTAATGTCATTTATACTTGACTCGCTAAATGGGATAAACATCTGCCCGGCCTTCCTCTAACTTGTTAGACAGGTGTGCCACCCCCAGTTAACCTCCCGACTGCAAACACACACGTCCTCATTTTTTGCCCTCTTTAAACGTCCCACCACACCATGAGCCTTTGTCGGCGCCCAGGTTTGGGAACTGTTGTTTGAAATTATTTTGTACTGTGAACACATCAGGTATATTTTGTTAATATGTACAATAAACATTTTATAAGGCACAAAGAAAGGATCTCAACCCTCATCCTTGTTAGTTAAGTTCTACCAGCGTACATTGTTGGGGTGGTCTTCTGTCATTAACTGTCACAGCAATAAAATAAGACTCCATATCATAAAACCAGTCTTAATAATAATGATCAGTTTCCCTTGACTTGTCTGTCTTTGTATGGGCCATGTGGTCATGGTGACATCCTTGTTTTGTCTCTCTCCAAACTTTAAAATATCTGGTTGAGATCTAGTNNTATGATTCCATATTTATTTTACCTGAGTATAAAGAGCTAATTACAACAGTAGCTCAACATGGAACTCTATATACTATAGTACTACTACTCGGTGGAATAAACCTTTAAAAAAGGAACGTAGTATTGGGGTATCTGCTGGCTACAACAAATGTCAAATGGACTCCGCCTCCTCGGCGCACACCGGCGTCGAAAAGGTGCGGACCCACTACAACGCCCGTGAGTCGACCACTATAGTATGTAAAAAAGAGGTTTCTAGCTAAATGTCACTCTGTAGCAGTTAGGGTTTCCCTCTTCAGCCAAAAGTGTTCTTTTCCAAGTCCTATAAAGGACTGTGATCAGTTTGATCGTCCATAGATGTGCGCGCGAAGCCCGTTTTATGTTTGTGAATCTACGTCACTGGCAGTTAAAATATATAGCGATACTATATGTAGTGAAGAATAAGTATTTATAGGGAATCTATATTTTACTGGTTTAAACATAATCACGTCTGTCTTTAGACTATACTAAAACGACTGAATTTGATTTAAAGGAGAAGAAAACGATTAGCAGAGGATGGTTTCGATCC